CGAATGCAATTCTCAATGCAGAAATGGTAGCTTCTGCAGATGTGGAAGACACAGAAAAGACTTCTATCCACTTCAAGAACGCATCCACAATAACCAAGAATGTGTGGCCTAGGAATGGTCCCCCAAAATCAATGTGAAGCCTTGACCAGGGTCGCTGTGGAAAAGGCCACGGCGTCTGCTGAACCGGCTGTGCAGCTCGATGTTGAGTCTGGCAAGTAGCACAGCTCTTCACGCTGTTGGCAATGTCATTGTGAATGCCTGGCCACCAAACATGGCTCCTGGCAATCGTCTTGTTCTTCTCGATGCCCGGGTGGCCCACCTGACCACTCGAGGCGAAGCTTGCACGGGAACAGGCATGTTGGCACCCAGCAGTCCAAGAAGTGGCTTGTGGTCAGTGTGTGCTTCGAATGAGATGCCCCACAAGTACTGGTGAAACCGATCCACACCAAACACTAAAGCCAGTGCCTCCTTGTCGAGTTGACTGTAGTTTTGTTCTGCTTTTGACAAGCTCCTCGAGGCAAAAGCAATGGGATGTTCCCCGCCATCAGCATCTTTGTGCGCCAGAACTGCACCTATACCATAAGGCAATGCGTCACAGCTGAGGCAAACAGGCCTGGCAGGGTTGAAATGCACAAGAACTGGAGCTGATGTCACCAAGTGCTTGCAGGCATTGAATGCATCTTGTTGTTCATGTCCCCACTGCCACTTCTTCCCTTCACAAAGAAGCAAATGCAGTGGACGAAGAAGTGACGAAAGATTGTGTAAGAAGCGCCTGTAGAAGTTTACAAGTCCCAAGAAACTCTGAAGTTCCCTGACATCCTGAGGCACAGGTGCATGCAGAATGGCTGCTACCTTGTCAACATTCGGGGAAAAGCCTTCCTTGCTGATGATGTGCCCGTGATACTCAACTTGTGGCACGAAGAAATGGCATTTTTCAAGTTTCAGCTTGAGGCCAGATTCCTGAAGCTTGCTAAACACAGCACAAAGGTTGCGAAGGTGCTCAGCATCATTTGCACCAGTCACAAGAATGTCCTCGAAATAGACTGCTACATGGGGCTACCCATGTAGACTGCTACCCTGAACAAGTTCTCCATCTCGTGCTGAAATATGGCAGGAGCAGATGAGACGCCAAAAGGCAACCGGGTGTACTGAAATAACACCATATGCGTCGAAATAGTGACGTACTCCCCAGAGGACTCGTAAAGGACAACTTGCTGGTACGCATCTCGCAAATACAATTTTGTAAATTTCTCACCTCCAGCAAGCACAGTCCACAGGTCCTCGATCTTTGGAATGTGGTACTGCTCCACTGTTGCCACTGGGTTTATGGTGACACCAAAGTCTCCCCAGATTCTGATGCGCCCATCCCTTTTGGTCACAGGAACAATAGGTGCATACGGCAGTGGACGTGGCTTGAAGAACCGAGGCGGAGCATTTTGATTGATATGTGGGGTTTAACGTCCCAAAACCACTATATGATTATGAGAGACGCCGTAGTGGAGGGCTCCGGAAATTTAGACCACCTGGGGTTCTTTAACGTGCACCCAAATCTGAGCACACGGGCCTACAACATTTCCGCCTCCATCGGAAATGCAGCCACCGCAGCAGGGAATCTAACCCGCGCGGGGTCAGTAGCCGAGTACCTTAGCCCCTAGACCACCGCGGCGAGGCGAGGCGGAGCATCTGAAGGAACATGTAGAGAAGCTTTAGCACCCTTGAATGTACCCAGGCCTTCTTCAAACACTTTGGCGTAGTCTTGGACTAGGTGTTTGACGTCGAAAAGTGCGCGGATGTTCACTTCAACATCGGAGACGCCGATGCCCAGCTCACGCATCTAGTTGGGTTCAAGAAGAGTGGGCGATTCGTCTCCGGTCAGAAAAATAAGTAGGTCGGTCTCCCTGCCATGAAACTTCACACTGACGTCAGCTTTGCCCTGAACCTTTTTTAGTTCCTTAGAATAGCTTCGCAGAAGCACTTGTGACGGCTGCACAGGAACCGAAGAAAAAAGCTGAAGAAAACGCGATTTGGCCATGACAGAGACACTTGCCCCAGTGTCCACTTCCATGCGGAGCGGCTTGCCGCAAAGGTCAACAGTGACGGTGAAAGGCGGCATGTCGTAGTCGACCGGCCACATGTCAAAAACTTCGTAAGATGAAGTGATAGCGACGTCCTGCTTGCGTACAGTATTAACACGATGACGGTTACTCGACGACGGTGAACTGCAAGCCGAGAACGAACGTGCCTTGGGCTGTTGCTTTGGGCTTGGCTGTCCCTTCGTCTCGAATTGCACACCTTCGCCAAATGACCTCGTTTGTGGCAGTAATTGCAGATTTTCTTCACATGCTTGCATTTTGATGCAAAATATTCGTCCCCGCAGCGGTAGCACGTTACGCCCCCCGAACCTGACGAGACACGATGAGTCGAGAAAGCGCTGCTTGTGTTCGCTTGCGCTACCTAACCTGCGTACCTTTTTGCTGCTTCCATTGCCAGGGCGGTCTGCACGGCATCGTTGAAGGTGAGATCCGGTTTTTCCAGAAGTCTTGTCTGGACATTCACATTGTTTATGCCACACACAACGTGGTCGCGGAGCATGTTTTCGAGTTCAGCCCCGAAGTTGCAGTGCATAGACAGGCTTCTTAGTGCTGCGATGAAATTGCTGACGAATTCCTCTTCCGCACAAACGCGCGAGTTGAAACGAAAACGCTGCACGACAGCAGAGGGCTTCGGACAATAATGGCTTCCAGGAACTTGAAGAATCTTGTCCAGCGTCTTGTCACTGGGCTTGGCGGGCTTGACCGAATTGCGGAGCAAAGCATACGTTTTCTGCCCGCAGCAGCTGATGAACACGGCAGTACGCTTGTCTGGGGCGACATCATTCGCCAGGAAAAATGCTTTGAGCCGGTCTACATAACAGCGCCAGTCGTCTCCTCCCCCTCGAATGGCTCGAGGTTGCCGAAACTTGGCATGGTGAACAGATGGCAGAGCGGTGCGGGAACGAAGACTTACATAAAACTTCCTTTCATGCTCATCGGCAGTTGTTACATGTGTAGCTTAACGGATGGCCAGGCAGTAGTGATACCGTGAACAGTAGGCCATCAGGCCCGCGAAGAACATGAGAACATGTTGAGCCCTTTGCCCAGAACGAACTGTCTATATTGTTTCCAAAACGTCCCCCCCCCCCCCCCCGCAGTGCCAGACTTGCACAGCCCAACACAACTATCAGCGCCACGTGGGGGCGCTGCATTTGAGCCAACATTGTAACAGTCCCATGCTTCACAAAGCTCCTCATCGTCAGCTCCCAAATTATTAATCACTTGTATGATTATGGGTTTTCGTGACAAACCCTTTGTATCGATCCCCGATTCCTCACACAACAGCAACAAGTCTGGCTTGTGCAGTTCCCGTAAGTCCATGATCGTACTGAGTGCTCACTACTTCCGAACATAAGTTCCCGAAACAACGAAACTGAGTCTTTCGGCAAAGTTAACTACCAGTTCCAAAATTTACCCTATTTTAAAACCTGGTTCACTCAAAGAAAAAGCCAAGCACTCGCCCATATATGATCCATGTCTCGAGACAGCTGCTTCCTGTGGGCTAACTGTTGCTGTCACTTGTAGCTTAGAATCCCAGCGCTCTTCACCAGTTGTTGCAGACCGGGGTCTACCCGAAGCGTCCCTTAAGACGTGGGCTGCCAAGATGTCAGGGTTACGTAAGACCCGGACTCGCGTGGTGCAACTTCTGGTGGAGGAAACTAATGCTGACAAGTTGGGGATACGAAAAACAAACTGGTTTACTGGTGCTATTTACAACTATTTACAGCATGGAGGTTAGGAGTTCCGTGAACCACGAGTGTGGTGTGGATGAACTGTTAAACCATGGCTCAGAGCAACGTCCAGCACTTTGAAGCGTTGTTTTAAGCCCTGTCGGGCTCTTTGATTGTAACACCAATAACACACAAGACACAATAACACAAGGTCGCCGAATAGTAATTGCACCTCCTGACGCAATGCTCCTCTGGTCAGTTTCACTGAGGAGAGGGGGAGTGAGTTCTTTCCCGGAACAAGTTGGCGGTTGGGTTGCTGCTTCCGCCCTTCCCTGGAAGGGCAGCAAAGGATTAGCGACTTGTGCGGTCAATCTGCTTCGCCGTCTCGCTAAACAAGCCATGTAGGGATATTGGCACACGGACAGTCAAAGTTGCCACATAATCCCTTTGTTGCTTCCTGCTGCTTGAGGCTCCTTCCGAGAGAAGAGCACAGGGGCTCCCGGACGTGGGAACGTCGCTCGGCTCTGCTTCTCATGGCGAGCATGGCGCCCATGGACGAGGGTCACAACAGCAGACACAAAGGAGTTTGTAGACGAACTAAAATTCACTATTAACGATACTTGCATATTACTTATAAGTGATACCTGCTATACGCTGTTCCAGTTTGATAGCTTGTGGTCGTGTTGGTGTGTAACATGCGCGTAATGAAAAGACATCCTCATTGCGCTTTTTTCGTGCTTCGAAACCAGATGACTACAACTCACAACAGCTCCACGACACCTGACTTACGAGCACTCGTTGAATCATGCTCTTTTCTTTCGCCATCTTTTTATAGGTGGTTTGCATCTTGATACTTTTACGAAATCATTCAAAGTGGTGTGACAAAAATCAGACATGGCGAGTGAGTGCGTTTCCAGGCTTTCGCGCCAGTTAGCGCCATGATAAGAACACTTGGATCGTAGACGCCATCGCTACTAGCGCATCGTCACTCAGGATGGCATGTGTGAAATGTGTCACACCGAACATGTAGCACTAGTGTCAATGTCGCAAGGCACTCTATTTTCTATTAAGCTATTGTAAGCTGTTTGCCGTCGAAATAAGATAACGTCCACGCGACGGACACAACTCAAATTTGGCGCAGACGATTTATGCACACCAAGCAATTGAATGAAGGACAAATCTCGATTCTGAAATTTGATGTCGGGGCTCCTTTACATATAATGGAATCTAGGCACTCTGATAGTTCCATTTTTTTTATTAAATATCATAACTTGCAAGCTGGTACAAGTGTGCTTATCTACAGTTTGTGCATGACTGTACAATGAAATAGCGATGACCTATCCTTGGTCATTGCGCAGACATCCCCCAAGTTCACGTGGCTTCGCTATGAAAGGAACGAAAACTGCCTAATTTTTTGCCAGCCTTGCTTCTGGTTGACAGTGATGTTTTTTTCTTGTGGTTTGCCTCTGAAAATTACAAAAGGTCATGTCACACAGCAATTTACAAGTCAAGAACGAGTGCAATGATTTCATTGAGAAGTCTCAGTTGAGGAGCACATACTTTGTCAGGAGAATTTCAAGTTTGCCATCCTGTTGAAAAATTCGGCTTTCATCAAAGCTCCAAAATACCTGCCAAAGTGTTACATACTTCTAACCAAAATGCTGCAAAACTTTTTTTTAAGCCAGCAACACATTACTTATAGCAGTGAACATTTGGTAGTTAATATCCTCACAATTCTTTATGTATGCTGCTAAGAAGGACTTTATTGTTTGTTCCATAAAATTCAACCATAAAATGGCAAGAATATAATGAAGACAAGTAGCATTAATGAGACAGAAGCTTTTCAGTACCTTCTTTTTCCTTTAATAACTCACAGAACATTGAATAAATGTGCTAGTCTCTAGCCACTTCACTTCAGCATTGCCCACAAGAGCTTGCACTGCACTTTGCTAAATACCCAGTGTGCAATCAGTACCCAGTATCCACTTAGCGGGCTGATAATGCATTTATCTAATGAAACATTTACTGATGGGAATAAAAGAAGGCCATGTGGACAGTCAAGTCTTTATACTATCGCAAACCATCAATCAGTCTAAAGCCTGAAATTTTCATGCTGGAGCATAAAATGTTTGCCTCATCAATGTACTGACTGAAAATGCAAGAACTTAATACATGAAAGTATTGTTGTTGACAGCTGTAAGAAGTCTCTACTTGTTTAAGAGCTTGCCTAAAGTCGTGATAGTAAAATATTATCGCGGCACAATGCGAACAGAAGGCAGGCAGACGTTGGCAAAGTGATAACAGTGTGTTCTAAGCAGCTAAACAGCAAGATCGCATCCTTTGTCTTCGAACATCCAGAGGCCTACTATATAGTGTCCGCTAAATCCCCTCATTGTCGTTTTGTCCACATGTATATGTGCGTCAATATTTTCAGTTTTAGATGTTTCTTTACAATAAGGTTCAAAACTTATGCACCTTTCAGTAGTATTTAATCATAACAGTACTTTGTTAGAATCAACAACATGAAACACACTGTCAGCATCCCAAAATGATGGGGTGAGACATCTCTGGAGTATAGCTTGCACTCATAGCCTTTAGTTGGGAAGCAGTAATATGTGAACACAGCATTTGAGTCACTTATATATATAATGCATAACTAGAGCAGGAATTACCGTAATTACTCGAATCTAACGCACACCTTTTTTCCGGTTAAGCGAGTTCATAAATCGCATGCGCTTTAAAATCGAATGCGAAAAAAAAAAACGAATACGGTCATTCTATTACCATCGGCATTTCCAAAATGGCTGCCCACTACGTGCTTCGGCATGGCGCGTCGGCCATTTCTGCCCATGTGTCTCCCATGTGCGGCACTTCGTACGTGTGCTGAGGAGTTTTTCATTTTGTAGTTCATTAGCATCGACGGCATGGAAGGGCCGACTCCAGAAACTCGACGAGTGCACCACGATGCCGCTTTTAAAAGAAAAGTCATCGCATGTGCCGAAACAGACGAAAATCGGCCGCATCGCGGTCGTTCGGAGTTCCCGAAACGTGCGTGTGGGACTGGCGGAAGCAAAAGCAGAAGATTGTCAAAGATTCATGCAAAGGCTTCAGTGGACCACAGCAGGGTCGGTTTCCGCAAATTGAAGTGCTGCTCGCCGAGTATGTGCTTGAGCAGCAAGCGGCACAGCAGCCCGTGTCGACAGAACTACTCCAAGTGCGGGCTATGCAGTTAGCTTTAGAAAAAGGGCTAACGCGGAGCCAGTTCAAAGCGAGCAGGTGCTGGCTAACAAACTTCATGAAGAGGAAAGGCTTTTCCCCCCGAAAGAGAACGGGCCTGTGCCAAAACTTGCCGGAGGAGTACGAAGAAAAGCTTCACAGTTTTCAGAGGTAAACTTGCGGCACAACAACGGCTACCTGCTTGGGCAAATCGGGAATGCCAATCAGCCGCCTCTTTACTTCGACATGCCTGGCACCACAACCGTCGAGAAGAAGGGGGCGAAGCAAGTTCGCATGCTGACATTGGGCCACGGTAAAACAAGAGTGACGGCAATGCTCGTCAGATAGGCACAAGCTTCCACCGTACCTCATATTTAAATGGAAGACGCTCCCGAAAGGAGTCGTTTTCCCGAGTAGTGTGATCGCGCGAGCCAACGAGAAAAATGGGTGCGCATTGCAATCGATGTCTTACTTTTTTTTTTTTTTCGTCGTGAAAATCGAGTGCACGTTACAATTGAGAGCGCGGTAGAATCGAGTAAATACGGTAAGCTTTTTTGTGGAACTTGTGCCCCACAAACCTATTATGCTGACTATGCTGAGTACTTACTACCAAAAATTATGGATACAGTATAGCATAAATATTGCACAAAATCAAGCCACATCACTAAAATCATTAGTTTCAAATGAAAGCGATGTCTCAGTTTTCGCGTTCATCACTACTTTAATGGAAGTACTGCAACAAGAAGTTTGTTTGACAATAACCGCTATTTCAATTCTGTAACTGCTTCCTAGGTGTAACAAATGCGCCTAAACTAAGTGACACTTTAGCATCCCATACCCAGTCTTTTATTATGAACATGCCACAGCCATTTATTTTTCATTAACAATCATACTAAAATTTATCCTCATAAGTTGCCATATTCTCTGCCTGTAGCACTGCAGCTGTAGTATAAGAGCTCGCGGCCATACTCACAGAAATGAGTTCGATGGTGGCAGGGGTTTCAGTGAGACCTTCTGTTGAGTGAGTTCAACATTCCGCACACTCCCGAAAAAGTCTGTCAGGGGCACTTGATCCAGGTTACGTGTGAATAAGTCCTTGCGTGACACCGCTGTCGAGATGCACACTGACTTGGGACAGACACGCAACTGCAACATAGAATATTGTTGGCATATGTCGAGAAGCTAAGTCCAAACACTATGCTCCCATCTAGCCAACTGTACCAGCTTTGGTATTAAGTAAGGTTTTTAGAAACAGCAACACAAAATTGTTGTTGATTACGACTAACATAACTTGCATGACAGAATAAACTCATTCTGTAGATAGACCTAGGAACTCATACAATATGAAAGGGAAGCTAGCCCAGCTGCAATAACAAGTTAAAATGGGAGGCTAAGCAAAGCACTTGCTCAGTTGTGTCTGCACTGTTCTTCATCGCCAGCATCGTAATGTAAGCTTTTGCTGTCATTGAGTGAAATCATTTGCTGTTTGCATATTCATTGATATCAATATTTATTTCTTAATTTGGTTAGTAAGTAAATATTCAGAACTACAATGAATCCAAAAAACTTCACGTTACAAACCATAGGGCTTTCATGTCCGATTAGGAAAGCCTTAGTAGACGTGTTTTTGTATCCACATTGACTAGAGTGCAGGAACCAAATCTTCACCCTTTTGTTGTGCCACAAATCATAGCAAGATAGCTAGACTGCCACTAAAAGGGGCCATGAAACATTGTTTGAACATTGTCAGAAAATGCTGCGGATCAGTAGTCAAGCTGTGAATATGTTAGCCACATATTATAGCACTGCACACAGTACAAAACTTACAATTACATTTCAAAGCCGGCTAGAAACCACTAGCTCCTCTCCCGGCAAATTTCATCATGAACATACCTAACTATGTCAATGGAAGGAAGGGCACAGCAATTGGTTAATTGGAACATTCTTGTGCTACATAGTTTCTGCGGCTGCCAAAAGGCTCCACTACGTGACGGCACCACAGTTTGTACAAGGCCAGAATTATTTAGTAGCGACACCAGTACACTCATTATCACATCTAAAGTGAGCCTACACATTAAAGAAAAGGTAAAAAGAAAGTACTGATGATAGTGACGTACACTGATGTCGCTCCTTACCTCTTTTTCAACCCCACCCCCGATTCCCTCTGTGTAGCTTTCTTTCAGTACGCTCAAAGTTTTGAAATGAAAGAAAAGGCACTCAAAGTGTGCGAAAAATCTTTGTAACTCTGTTCATACTTGATAGATTCAAGAATTTTTTTTTCAGCAATCAACTCTTGATGCAATAAACTCCGACAGAGAGGTCAATGGGGCCTCTTTGAAGGGTCCCTGAAGCATCTTCAATAATTTTTTTAACATTTCGACTAAACTCGCGCATAAAGTTCAGAATGCCGTTAAAGTGAACAATGCCAAACATGGCAGCACTATGAACTGCAGGCACGCCACAAATTCCAAGACACAATCCCTTGTCCTCTATGGGCCCTTTGGTATTCCCCAGCATTGGCCATGATGTCCCTATTCTCCTCTAGTCATGTCATTCATAAAAATAGCCTGTGCAAGTGTGCTCACCACTCTTTCTCCTCACACAGCAAGAAGGAGCACTCTACCAGGAGGAGAGACGAGCTGATACTAATCAAAGCTTAGCAAAGAAAAAAGCGAAGCGAGCGGGTCCCTTCTAAATCATCAAATCCGTGCGGCTGCGCTATTAAGGCACCATTTTGAAAAATTCTGATGGTGGTTGGCTCGTGCACAATCGCAACACCATCACCCAGTGGTTCAAAGCCCTTTAAGGGAGAGAGCTGAATTTGCTTCTTTATATATACGATACTACCACGACTACTGGATAAAAAACAAGATGCGGCCTGCTGTGTGCCGTCGAAACAGCGGGACGGGCCTAGTTCACCTCACGCCTTCTTTGGCGTCACCACCTCTCCCAGGAAAAGCACACGCATTTCTACGCTTAGTGGCTGCACATTACAGGTTCTATTCCGAATCATTATTAGGAGTACCTTTTACACCACATATGTGAACAGTTTGCCCTAGGAGGGCCAATCACTCGTGGAGTATAGGCCTCAATACTCTCCATGAATGCTGTCCGTTTGACTAACCAGAAATGAAAAGGGTCACTGATTCCACTCGTGGGGAGGCAATTGCCGGGCAGATTCCAAGGGCTGACGGATCGGCCAACCGAAACGCACCACAAAAGCACACATGATTTATTTGATGCTATTGTCTCGAGCCGTCGGCCCGAGTCTACATCAGCGCTCGCTTGTAACAAAAATAAGTGCTCTGTTACGAATAATGCGCATCCCGATAAGCTTCTTGAAGCTGTAGATTGTAGGAGAATACATTGATGCTTCAAAGTAGTCTTTTTTTCGTGTCCGAGCTGGTCAGCGGCACACTAAAGCTTCGCGGCATCACACCACTAAAGGAACGTCTGCCACACACACGTGCACCAAATAATCGTACTCGATCACAGGAAACATGAGGCAAACTGCCCTCCACACACGATTGCACACAAAATAAAACGCGAGAAAGCACACAGACATTCACAACTCTTCACGCAACCACATTAAAACACAAAATGCCATCAGCTTAGGGGTGCCAAGTGGCCAATAACAGCAAGAACTCAATGTGCTAAGATATATGAGCTCCAGGAAATGCCTTCAATGGTGAAAAACGTACTTGGTCCGAACATAACTTCAAGTAAACTAGTACAACTAAAATATACAGTGCCTCCATAGAGAAGGAAAAACTACTTGTAGTTAATAAGCATCAATCGATTCAATACTCACAAACTGGGCCATAGTCTTGGTGTTGTTGGTGTTGACCTCCTCAAGGAACATGAGTGCATAGTATGTGTACCTATCAATGACATATACTCCTATTGTCGGGTCACCATGGTGCTGCAAGAAAAATACGAATGCAATGGCACAGTACAGCCAGCCTGAAAGTTTCTGTAAAATTGTAATGTATTTAAAAAACATGAAGCTATAAGCATAGCAAAGGAAAAAAAAATGTTCAGTGAGCATGTATACAGAGTGATGCCCTCTCAGGATGCACCAGTTGGCATGCGGTATCGTTTATAGTGCGGTTATTCGAGACTCCCGCAACTTACCTTATAAGCGGTCTAATACTGTATGTGAAATGTCAAGAAAAAAAAAAAAGCCGCTCACACTTGGCGCCATGTTTATCTCCCACACATACTTTGTCCTGCGAATGGGGAAGGGGGTTAGATGCTTGTGCACACGTGCCTATCCTTCGGTGGGGAGAATCGTGTGCCTTTGGCTTTCACCGGAACGATCGAGTTAGTTGCCAGGTCCACAAAGGTCACTTTGCTTGCTGCACAGGCCCCATTTGCAAAAAAGAGCGTGCTTTTTATACAGAGCGAAGTAAACAACCGGGACACTTGTTAGTCTCCCCTCATCTGTACTTGTGATTACATATCGTGCGTCGTTTTGTTTAAACAGCGTGTTAAGTGTCCAGCAGAAAACGTTGTTAGTTCACTCTTTTCCTGTGTATGTTGTTTTCATGCATCATTTGTGCGTGAGCAGCACGCTGCACATTTGGATTTGCTTGCCGTTCTCAGCGTTACATGCCAAGTTGTTGCTATCGCATTCATTGCTTCGCCCTTGCGGCAAAATTGTGACTTTTTTGCCTGAAGCATCTAGTGAAAATTTGTGGACAATCAAAATTTTTAAATTTTTGAATGACTCTGGTGGACCTGGACCTTCACCCATCACGGAAGTGCAGTGGTTGCAACTCTGGCTAGCGCATATCGAATATTTCAGGATATGTATGTACATTTAGTGTTTCTATACGAAGATATATATAACAGAATAGCCTCGTATTTTAACCAGTAACCAGTTTGAATTAATCAGTGCTTTAAATTTAGTAAGTGCTGAGGATCAAGCAATGCTCCATACAGCTTTTGCCTGGTTTTTGTATTTTTTTTGCGTTGATTTATCACTACGGGGCCGTAGTGCATTTAAAGTTTGGTTGGTCATGCAATGTAGTTTTCCAGCCAGTCCTTTACTCTGCTCTGAAGCTTACTTATGCCGTGTTTTCCTTTGCTTTAAAATGTTTTACTGTTAAGGCAAGGGCCTTACATGCCTCCTCAAACGTTAAAATTCACCGACTGCTTTCCACGCCGGCGGCATCAAGATGTGACACAATAAATTACCTTTTCATGCTCATGATGCATCGATATAGAGAAGTAACTTCTCAAGCTTTCACAGCTTGCACAAGTTTTGTATAGTTTTTTTTTGTGCGTCGTCTCGTGCGCTATCACCCTAGAAAGCTTCAATTGGTAGCACTGAAGTCTCTGTTACAAGCAACGGATGTGTGCTTTGAATTTTTCAAGCTGTGAGGAGCTGCATATAGCTCCGTCTGTTCGGCATGTCACCTCTACACATTTGGGCATCTCAGTGCCTGTACAAAAAAAAAAAACAGCTAGCATTTTACTCATTGTGCTTCCGTATTACTGGCATGTAACGAGACAGAGGCGACCAGTATTCTCACTTTCATTAACAGCGTCATTACCGCAGCTGTGTCAAAGGGGTTCATGCACAGTGTCGATGCAGGCTCAACAGTATCCGGCTCAGCTGACAGTTGGCGGCGACACTTGATAGGGAGTGAGCACTGGACCTTTTTGCACTAGACAAACACGTGGGGAGGCCGTGGAAAATTCTTGGCACAGAGCCCAGCAAAAGTTTTGGAACATAATGTGGCGTCTTCACAACTCCTCTGATTAGCCACTTGCTCGCGCGATAATCCCACTCTCATCGAAGTGCTTTTCGCACGCCTTGCACTTGCAAGAGATCAAATGTGAAACCACCATTTTCTAATCGCGGTATAGCGCGCTTTCTTGTTTCCCGCTGTTCACTGTATAGGCAGCGAGAACATAGGCACTTTTTCATCATTTCCCTTTGTAACTGGATCGATATTCGTGTACGTCACATGCATGTGGCATTCTTTTCGATCAGGCACATTGCGCACACCACCAAACATGCGATTAAAAACGCGTGGTGACATGCTATGGTAGCGGCCTCAGTCTCCCTGATGCCCCCAGCGGGAACGCAGCACCGCCCCACGGCTTCCGCTTGCTGTGCACAAAGCTCTCCCATAGAGTTACAGCGCAGCTTCATGACCAGTAAAAGTACTGATGGACTTTGCTTTCATATCTAAAAACTGCAGGATTCCATCGTCAGGCAACTCATGCATGAAGCATAAGCCAAGCCAATCTGCCAAAAGGCGTTTAAAACATTATCTATTAGATGGTTGTTTGAATTCTTCTGTTTTGTGAGCAGAATTACAAAATCATCGACGTAGTTAGGAACTTTTAAAACCTGTTCACTACTCAAAATTTGTTCCAGTGTTATGTCAACCTGAGAAAGAAAAAAAGTCACAGCTTTGCTGCAAAAGCAAAGCAATTAACGCGATAGCAACAAATTGGAAAGTCATGCGCAAAATGGCAAGTAGATCAAAACGTGCCCCAAGTTTCCCACACACAAGTGACACACAAAATGTACTCACAGGTACAGATGAACGTGAGTAAGCATCTCAGTTGTTAATTCGCTGTGTCTCAAAAGCGCACTCTTTTCGCGAACGGAGACTGCAACGATCGCAGTGACCTTAGTGCACCCGGTAACTACAACAGAATCGTTCCGGTGAAAGCCTAAGGCCAGCCAAGACGTACGATTGCCCCACCACGAGATAAGCGCGCACGTTAGCGTCCACCTTGCTCCCTCTCTGCGGGGCAATGTACGCGTGGGAGATGAGAGCGCGCGCCGCCGCATCGTGATGGTGTGGCGATGGGCGCTTTTGCGCCATCTTGCTGGTGATGCCCTCAGATGCCCATCACTAGTGGTAAGTGGCATATATAAATAGCTTGCCATTTGAACGTTGAAGGAGGAGCTCCTTCATGACTCAATGATTCACGCCTCGCACTCACGATTCATAGGTCCCACATTCGATTCCACACATTGGAGTCTTTTTCTGAATTATTTTTCTTTCTTGTGTTTTCACATATATAGATACCTATACATATAGGGTGAGTGACGGCGACACTGACGGCAAAATTTAGCTGAGAGTGTCCACATAATTGCAATCGCAATAAAATGTTACACAATAAAGAAGCAACATATGACCCGGTACATACCACCTTACACTGTAAAGAAATTTTACCATCATATGAAACAAAGGCAGAGGCGAGATAGGCCTATAAAAACTTATCTGCATGCATGCCTACTGTATCCTGAGAATCAGCGATTCTGTGCGTATTCATACAGGTCATCACCAACTGAAGAAAGGCGGGTCATGGGGCGCTGAATAATATAAAGCTGCAAATCGCTGCAGATTCCTACAGCTCAGTCACACGTGTTCTAACCCGCCCATTCATAGTACGACAGCCTCTAGTTGCGCGACGTCACCCAGGCTGCTGATCTGATTCACTGCGGCATGCATGGAGGTAAGATCGCCTGGTAGAGTGGCAGCACCTGTCGGAGCAGAGATATCAACCACTCTGTGATTTTCGTCCCTGTTGTCAGACGGTGTGCCTGTGTGCAATCTCGGAAATCTATCTAGATTGGGTGAAGCTCTGATTGTCAAATGCACTCATGAGAGCTTTGCGATAGCCAGCAATGCCAGTGTGTCTACGAGTTGAGAAGACACAGCAGGGTTGAGATGGAGGATAATATATAATTGTTCGTAGCGGCCTTGACACATGGTGTGTCGTTAAATTAGTGGTGCAAATGATTATGATGCTCTCGCATAAACACTGACAGAACTTTAAGAAACTCTTTCAGTATCCCTTCAAGGGTACGAGATTCTATTTTCCAAGTTGTCTACAGCTGTCCACAACTTGTACCACTGTCGCAGGCAGGGCAATATATTCAGCCACATGGCTAAAGATATCATATTTCCACGCGTGTTTCTTATTTTCACTTTTGCTTCATTTGGTTTTCTCCCCCAAAGCTTGTCAGGAATGCTCAGTGCAAACTGCACCTCAATGATCGAGAAGGTACATGATCATTGTAGATTGTTCTGTTGAGATTGCGCGCAATACACAAATGCGCAAGATTATTCCAGAGCTTGCGCAACGGCTAGTAATAAGACTGAAATATTCGACGGCACTTGTATGAATGGCGACGCGCTATGCCGCTTGTCAGTTCATAGACGACCGACGCCCTGTTCACCGCTATCAGTGCCAGTGTCTTGTTCTAATCTGACTTGCCTCTTATGTGGCCACAAGTTCGGCCCATTAAAAAGTTTAACCTGAACATCCAGTCTGCTCCCTTCGTCCGCGAAACACCATCGTGACAATGTTGACTGCAACCTTTGTATGAGTCATGGGCTTCATGGCCAAATGCCATATCATCATGGCGTGGCTTTCTGCCATGGTGCTGGTGCTTAAGCCTGTCCAAAGTTTTGTCAGTTTTACGCAGAAGGAATATCATCAAAAATATGCTGTGAAAAAATGCTGCTTTTGAACAGCCCTAAGCTATAAAATTGATTAACTCGTTGCCCAACTCTCAGAGTTCCCCACTTCTCACATATCACGAAGTCACACAACATTACGCCAACGACAGCAATACCAACTCCCACCAGAATACTTCACGCAAGAGGAGGCTGTAGACTCTACTTTTCTGAATAAAATATACCCGACTCGTTATACCAATGCCTGTCCAGGATGTGGTGCTATCCCCACAACCTTTGTTGTCACCGAAGAGCGCACCGCCACCTACTTCTCTCCCCTCCCACCAATCCTTCGGTCCACCTGTGCCCCACAGCCGTGGGAAGGCACCCTTCAAGCCGGTGCCCCCTAGGTCTGTCAGGAGCTCATTCTACTGGCCTGGGCAATTGCAGAGTTTGCCGTAGGTGTCCTGGAATAGGGACCTCCCTGTTTTCTATGCATTTGATTAATAAATGCTTTCATCTGTAACAAGCATGTGGCACCCTGCCTAACCTAGTTTCATTACATTGCCTGGTTTCATTAGCTTGCTTAGTTTCATTACCTTGCCTGGCACGACCGAGGCAGACAACCTTGGTCGTGCTTGGAAAATAAACACTCACGAGCGCTGCTCGCAGTCAGTAGCTGTTACTCCACCATGCGTGTGGTGTCATCCTTGTCAGAGAGCGGCGCCTCGGCCCTCCCTCTCGTCCACGGTCTTCGAGACAGATCGTGACACTGGCGACGAGTTCAGTCAACGAGTCGACTCACGCCATCGAGAGCGGCAAAACAACGCCCCCCGCATCTGACGCCATGCCGCTGTACAGAAGACTAGAGCCGTTCGAGGGAGACGGGTCCACCTGGCCCATCTATGGGGAGCAAGTTAACGTGTTTTTCCGCGCTAACAACACGCCTGAGAAGAAACAACGGGACATTTTCTTGGCAAGTTGCGGAACCCAAGTCTTCAGTCTCCTGCTCCACCTCCTAAAAACAGCTACACCGCATACCAAGACTCTCAGTGAGTTGCTGACTCGACTGCGCTCGCACTTCAGTCCGGCTTCGTCCTAGCTAATGGGGCATTTCCACTTCAACAACCGGAGCCGCCGGGAAGGGGAGAGCCTCGGGCAGTTTGTTGCTGCGCTACGAGGTTCGGCGAGTACCTGCGCTTTCAGGGACCAGCTGGACTCGCTGCTACGGGTCCGTTTCGTCTGCGGCATAAACAACCCCGGCATGCAGACGCGTCTCCTAGAACTTCCCGACCCCTCGCTGGATGACGTAGTGAAAGCAGCACTGGCGATAGACGCGGCGACAAAAGACGCCAGTGAGATTACACGTGCGGCGTCAACGAAAGCTGCGGTCAACAAGATGGTGGCAAGGGGCCGTTGATGCAGTCGCTGTGGTGACGCCCATTCCCCCTCACAGTGCCAGTTGGTACATTTGCAGTGCTTCACATGCGGAAAAACTGGGTACCTTGCACGAGTATGCCGAACGGGGAAGCAGAACAGCGGACCACAGCAGTAGCTGGCTGGCAAACTTTTCAAAAGGACCTTCCCCGGAGTGGCCGTCAAGGCTTCAGGCATGCTGCGAAGTTACTCGGGCGAGCATTCCCAGGTCCAAGGCCAGGCCCAGGTCAGTGTTCGTTTTGGCAACAGGGAAGCTACCCTTCTTCTGCATTTGGCCACGGGGTCATCACCAAAGCAGCTTGGCAGGAATTGGATTTGCGCACTGGGTATTCAGCTGCCAGAGGGCCAGGAAGCAGCCCTATATGACGTACAAGACATCCTCAAGACATCCTAAGCCTCCTAACAGAGTTCCAGCCACTGTTCAAGCCAGGGGTGGGCACATTCCCAGGTACGACTGCTGTCATCTATGTACCTGAGGGAGTCCGGCCTCGGTTTTTCGAGCCTCGCCCGCTGCCATTCGCACTTAAGGACGGGGTCACCCAGGAGCTCCAACGGTTACAGCGAGAAGGCATCCTGGTACCAGTCAGGACTGCAGATTGGGCCGCTCCCATCGTTCGAGTTCCCAAGCCCGACGGTTGTGTCAGAATCTGTAGGGATTTCAAGGTTACGATCAACCCCGTCGCTACGATAGAAAATTACCCCTGCCTCGGATTGAAGATCTCTGGTCGGCTTTGTCTGGTGGCCAGAAATTCACGAAGCTTGACCTCGAAGATGCGTGCCAGCAGTTGGTGCTCCAGGAGGCCTCACGGCAGTACGTCACATTATCGACAACTACGGGGCTTTTCCAGTATACACGTTTACCAATCGGCGTGGCCTCGGCAGCAGCCATTTTTCAAAGAGATGGACAACCTCTTCGGGAGCATGAGGCACATTGCAATGTACTTGGACGATATCCTCGTCACTGATATTGATGATGGAGACCGCATGCAGAATCTGCACGTTCTGGCCAGACTTCAGAATGCTGGTCTCAAGCTCAAGCAGGAAAAGTGCATGTTTCTGGTTTCTAGTGTAGAATACCTGGGATACGTCATCTCCCAGACCGGCCTGACTCCGACCCCCCACAAAGTTGAAGCTGTTCTGTAGGTGCCAAAGCCCCGAAACAAAAAAGAACTGCAAAGCTACCTTGGCCTCATCAATCTTTACAGCAGGTTCCTGCCCAACCTGTCTGCGCATCTGCAGCCACTACACATTCTGCTTCGAGATGGCCAGCATTGGGTGTTGAAGAAGGAGCAGGACATGGCCTTTGAGCACAGTAAACAGCTAATCACCAAGGCACCGGCGCTGGTGCACTTCGATACAGCCAAGCCTGTTGTTCTTACTGTAGACGCATCACCATACATTGTAGGAGCCGTCCTAGCCCACAAAGACGACAAGGATGGCCAAGAATGCCCGGTGTGGTTTGCTTCTCGCCGACTTCACATAGCAGAGCAGCGTTACAGCCAGCTGGATAAGGAAGGCCTCACCCTCATGTTTGGGGTCGAGCATTTCACCAGTACCTGTGGGGCCGAAAGTTCGAGGCAGTCACGGACCACAAACTACTGCTGGGGCTACTGGGGCCAGTCAAGGCGGTCCCCGTGCAGGCATCACCTCGAGTGGTATGATGGGCCTTGAAGCTGGCAACCTACAGCTCCAGTTGGCGTACCGTCCGGGAAAAGACCTGGGGCCTGCTGATGCCCTGAGCCAGTTGCCGCTGCCAGAGGTGCCTGCAGCTGTTCCAGAGCCAGCTTAAGTGCTCGTGCTGGAGCATGCGTACCCCGAGGTAATCTCCAAATCTGCTGTGTCGCAGGCGACCAGTCGGGACCCGGCCCTGTTCCAGGTGGTGAAGGCAGTATGCCGAGGGGAGGAATTGGTGCAACAGCCCTACAGCCACAAGGCAGCTGAGCCGAGCCTGGAGCAAGGCTGCCTACTTTGGGGTTCCAGGGTGGTGATCCCACAAAGTCTCTGGTTCAGGGTCCTGCAGTTGCTGCACGCGGGGCAACCTGGCGTGGAAAAGACAAAAATGGTGGCCCAGTCCCTTGTTTGGTGACCTGGACTGGACCAGGACATTGCTCACATGGTGCGGAGCTGCCAAGTCTGCCAAGAACATCAGCGGGTCATGTGAAGATCACCCCATGGCCATTCCCCCAGAGGCCCTGGTCCTGCCTTCACATGGATTTTGGTGGCCCCTTCAAAGATCACAACTTCCTGGTGGTGGTTAAAGCATTCTTAAAGTGGGTGGAGGTTATACCTGTCACCACTCTGTCAGCAGGTGCGACCATTGCAGCACTTCGGCAGATCCTTGCAGCCAGGGGCTGCCGGACATCATAGTCTCCGAAAAAGGGCCCGCTTTCCCTAGCGCACAGTATCTGGCCTGGCTGACAAAGAACGGAATCCGCCGAATGATGGTTCCTCCGTATTACCCTGCTTTAAATGGTGCAGCAGAGTGGCTGATGCAGACGATTAAGGATAAACTTAAGAAGAGCCAGGTGGGGAACTTCTGTACGCAGGTCGCCCGCATACTCTTTCGGTATCGGACCACACCTCATAAAGTCAACAGCCGTGCCTCCTGCGAGTGTTTGCTTGGACGGATGGTGAAGACACCGTTAGACATTCTGCACCCAGACCTCCGGTCCACGGCGCTCCTCGAACAGCTGAAACAGAAGCTGGCTGCTGACAAAGGGTGCCGTACTGGGCTATTGCCCGAGCCCGGAATGCCAATATTCGCCAGGAATTTCCGTTCTGGCCCACCCTGGTCTGCTGGACAAGTGGTCTCGCCTGCAAGCTCTTTCTCCCTGCTCGTACGAATGCAGGATGGAACTACATGTCACCGACATGCTGACCATGTGAGGGCTAACCGTGGGACCGGACTTTCATCTGCGGCAGCACCAGTTGCGGCCAGTGAGACAACCGTTTCGTAAGGAATAGGCGCCTGCAGTTGTGCGCCACTAGTTGGGCCACCGGCAAGTTCAGTGCCACCCCTGCCAACTACGGCAGAATCTCGGGAGGAACCGAGAGTGGCTCAGGCAGCACCTAGTGCTACCGCACCTAGTCCCTCAACACCTGTACCCAGACGGAGCAGCCGACGACAAAGAGCACCACGCAGATTTTTGCCAACCTAAAGCAACGCTGAACCGGCTGGGACTTGTAATTTTTTTTGTGTGTGTAATAACTGGGGGTGAGGGGTGTAATGAGCGTGTGGCGCCCTGCCTAGCCTATTTTCATTATATCGCCAAGTTCGGCAGGCAACCTTGGTCGTGCTTGAAAAATAAACACTGACGAGTGCTGCTCGGCAGTCAGTAGCTGTTACTCCACCATGCGTGTGGTGTCGTCCTTGTCAGAGAGTGGCACGTCGGCCCTTCCTCTCGTCAATGGTCTTCGGGACAGATCATGACACTGGCCACAAGGATGGGACGAAGGAATACACCTTTATGCAGTCCTACATTGGAGGGACAATTATGGGCAGTTCAACAGGCCCGCAAAGCGCCTGAAAGACTAGGTCTTTCGGTCCCAATGTGGGAGCAGCCCGCTTTGGGCTAGGACACTAGCGCAACCTATTGGACATTAATAATGTTCTTTTATCCATCGATCATCTCAAAGTGAGATCTTCATTAAATATATACACTATGTATTAGCACAAGACAGTACACGCACTATCAAGTAAGCTCACCGAGAGCGAGTCTTCACCAATCTTGCTGCTGGCCACAGCAAGAATATTGGGCGAATAAAAACGCTTAAACATGGACTCTGCCTGGCATGTGTCAATCATGAAGAAAATCTCATGGTACCTGCAATCAAACAAATGTGCACATATTACCAAATTAATTGAATAAATCAAGTGCTTTACTTTTAATGGCCATTTTCAAGCCACACGTATAACTAGAATAAAAGAGTGTGCAGTGGCACAATGTTCGTTTCCCTCAACTCTACAGCGCACATCATTTTGTTCAGCGAATGAACATTTTCTGTTGGCAGCAAAACATGGCTGCGCAGCAAGGTCTGTTGAGGCATAGTTGAAAAAGGTTCACAGAATCATAATACTTTGACTGTAGACACAAACCTTGCAACTCCAAAGTAGCAGATTATGCCGAGCAGCAGCGTCGTTAATTATAACATTAACTCACATGCCTGGAACATTTTTTTTTTCCATAGAGAGCCTCTGGCTTGAACCAATCATAAATGCCTTGCCTCCAGCCACAAGTTATGAAGAGGCACTGCAAAACAGCGCTCGCCGCCATGCCGCTTAGTCACATTACATTGGCAGCTCTCAGAGGCAGCTGAAAGAGCTCTGCATGTTTACAAGGAAGATGGCGCTGGAGGCACTGTCCACTGTACCAAAAAGGGGCAGAGAACAGGCAAATTGGGCAGCACGTTCAGAGGTCACATTTAAGGCAAGTTAGCTTCTGGGCTTTTAGCAGTACCGTGAGCTCTAAAATGGCCGTATTCTTTTACTTCCTAGCTTTCATATACATTTATTTAGAGGAAACGAAGGTTAAGGTATGTTCACAATTTCAAATGTTTTAAGATGACATCACAGATTAGTGCCAATGGTGGCCAGCAGAGCACACTGTCACTTTAGGAGTGCAGGTTTCAAGTAGGCATTGTTCATTATAGATTAAATAATTTGCGAAAAATATTTTAAAATCAGCATGCCCAATTCTTATTAAAACAATAAAAATTACAACCAGGCAGCTCCAATTTCTTATCGCAACACCTTTAAAAAATGAATACACATACTTGACAATATTTAGACGAATGAGTTTTTAGCAAGAAAGAATGGTTTCAGATGAGGAAGTTCATACTCAGTCTCTCAAATTCACAGCAGTGCAGCTAAGACTTTAAGCCTGACACATGTAATTTCATATAACACTTAATAGTTAAGAAAATAACCTTTATGAAAACTGTGCATATTTTGTTGTACAGCTAGTTAAGCACGTAATGTAGTCTGATAGCCTCATCTTAACAAGGCCTTGTCAAAACAAAGGTCCCCACTGCGTCCTTTTTATGCTAGCTCTTTAGCCCTTCTTATTTATCTTTTTTCTTTTTACAGATAATGTCAGACTTCACAATAACTTAGAGTAGCATGTTTTATTCCGCAGGAGGGTAAACCAAGCTCCCTACTTTAGTGCCTAGGCAAGAAAAAAACTGCAAGGCTCATTGTATTAATGTTCTTGCAAAACTAAATCGAAAAACACCTGCTTGTCTGACTGATTATTCACATGTGTACCTATATGGCACCGGCTCAGCACTTTGTGGGATGTACACAGTGGCCAAAAATATTTTTTCATCATAAATTTTTCAGGTAGATAAGGTTTGAGGCGGGGGTAATATATTGATATTGTACAGCATTTTCGAAGAGATGGCATAGCGGAGGGCTCTGGATAAGCTTTTTGAAATGTGTACGTAAGGCATGATACGTACACATTCCTGTGATGGCATGGACCCATCAATTATCGAATTGTGGCTGTTACAGCCAAGACATAACGCAACCTTTCACTGCATTTCCGTTTTTGGGTTTCATTGGTCAAGACAAAGTAGTTTGCTGTCAGCAAACAGCTCCAAACTACACTGTGTGCTTTCAAAAGCAGATACTACTAGGCTATGGAGACATGCGTGTGTTCATGTTTCTGACTGGATGAATCCTGCTTTCGTTTTCACTTAGCAGTCAGCCTACAAGACAGAGTACAGGAAACCATCTATTAAAAACCACCACCAACCCACAACACTAACATCATGTGCCAATTTACTAAAGCAATAATAATACAATGCATGCACACGAAGACTGCATGAAAGAAATATTCTTTATACGTTGACATTGCCTGTGGCTTGCGCAGTAACCTGCAGTGCTATACAAATGTGGCTTCCTAGACTACGCACGATTTTACCAGACCATATATACGCTTCTTGAAATTGTTTTTGCAGTTCTGGGACCTAACATGGTGTACACTCGACATGCGCTGTGAAGCAAGGACATCTGCATTTTGGCATTGTGCGACTTAGCAATAAAAGAATGAGGTGCAAGATGAAACGGTGCAAGACAATGGAAAACCGAAAGCAGAATTTTATCATTTTATCAATGTCTTATTTAGTACTTCTCACTTTAGCTTTTATTTTCACTGTTAATAGTACCTGAGAGCACATCTGCATATATGCAGCCAGTGGGGTCTAGACACACAGACATCATATTCAAAATGCAGGGGTATACTATTACTATTTGCACAATGAAATGCTGCTGGACAATCCAGTCTGCTGATTTGCAACTATATCCAATACTGCTGTTCACACCATGAATGTCATACTACTGTGGAATTCGTGCCATGCAATGGAACTTCTCTATAACTTCTCTATAACACTAAAACAGCTGGTTTTTTTTTAACAGCAAGCACACAAGCTCAATAATCAATACATCAATGCTCAATACTTGCATAATAATTACCCACCTCCGTTTTTGCCACATCTGCTCAAATGCATCCGCCAGCTCAACATTTGTGACTTCTTCAGAATCCTGAAACTTGAGAAATCCATCCCCACCATGGCCTGAAGCATAAAAACGTGAGGTGGCTAAGGCATATACAGCCATAGTGGAGCGCTACTTGCTTCACTGTTCTACATCAGGACCAATGTCGTACTTATTCATGCCCTTCCCAGGGCGTCTACCAATTTGATACTTCTAAATTCCCTGACTTTTCCAGGTTTTCCATGATGATTAAAAGCAAATTCCATGACCATTACATTTGCATGGAAAAATTTGTGCACTGTAAACAAACTCATGAGTGGAAAAAAAAAAAAAAAGCCAGGCGCTCCATATAAGTAAACATATTTACCAGACGTACTAAGAATATTCTGAGCACGTACAGTAAATGTGAAAAAAAAAAAACATGTATATCTGGCCAAAATAAATCCCCTGAACCAGGCAGTGAGCAAGTCAGCTGTTCAATGTTCGGAAGAACCAGGAAGCAACCACACAAGTTAAAATAACCGCAGATGAAAGTTTGAAGGAGCCTACGACAGTCAGACATCGCAGTCAAAGCTGCTAGGAAACATAGAAGCGGTGCCATCTTGTGGCATCCGTGTAAAATAAGGACGCAGGAGCCTGGCCGGATCTGCCACTGGAGTATAATCTATTTTACTATAATGGCTGTAGCCTACGACACTTAGGATGTGGATTTGATTGAATTAGAATGACCTGAACTGCTGTATTTACTGACTCAACTATTTAAGATATGGATTGAATTCTCTGATTCTGATCTGATTCGACCTGGATTGTTGCATTTACTATTGATTTGCATCGCCACCCAATTTTCCCACCCCTAAAATATTCTTTTCAGCAAAAAATAAAAATAAATTACTACTCGCGTATTCTGTGTACCATGCCTTGATGAGTAACGAGAACATTGCAAGGATAGAGCTGTACCACAAAATTTTCTTTCTTTTTTTCTTCTTTTTCTGCTGAGCACATGCATGTCTGTATTTTATGTCACTGGGCTCTGATACTTGAAGTGCAATGAAAGCTGGGGACATTGTTTAAAGTGCCGACATTTGAATATGTGGTGGCAAGAATGAATCTATCAAGTTACAACAGCTTCCTTGATTCCACAGATGAATCATGAATGTCGGCACGATACCATGATTTACGTACTCTGCTGTGGACGTGACGCTGAAAAATAATTGAGATTTATTTACACAATCTCATGAAACTGAAATGAAAAATTTAGCTGAAATTACCAAGTGCTACCCTTGCAACACGACTACCAGTAGTAAGTGTGTAGCTGAGGATATTTTCTGTTGCAACAACAACAACAACAACAACAATAATAATAATAATAATTGTTAAAATTAATTATTATATTTGATTTATTAAAAATACCATGAGCAACCCAGCAAGCTTCTGCTGATGGCAGGCAGTTCTAGCCTAGACAAACCAGACGGCCTTAAAGCCAAGCTGAAATCGTGCATAGACAAATATGCATAAAGTCACAGACATGAGTAAAGTTGTGGTTCAAAAGTCAAATATGATGTGTGATATGTAGAAGCAACAGACATCAAAATAGTGAATGTACCAACATGGAAGCTAAGGAATGCTTTAGTCAATGTGAAGGACAAGTTGCTGAGCAGAAATCCCGTAAGTCTTGTTTATGCCATAGGCGTGCCACAATTGTGACAACCAATACATCGGTGAAACTGGTAAAAGTTAAACCACACAAATATGACGCCACGAAACGACGTGTGGCCTCGACTGCCCTCGCTGAACACGCGGAATCTACGGACCACCAATAGACAAGTAAAAATCCCGTGTTCAGGACAATGAAAAAGCCTGCATTTGCCCACAGGGTGGGGGGGGGACTCAAGTACATGTGCCACGGAGTGGTAGGGGTATTGCGTGAATGTTACGTGATTGGGTAAGGTTTGCGAATGCTTAATTGTTACTTTGTCTTTATTATTTGTATTTATTGAATAAAGGAGAAGCGTTCCTTTCAACGAGTGGTGGGACACTTGCCCCACTACTGGCTGAAGGTACTGTTGCTTCCATTGGATCGATTTGTGTTAAGCAAAGCGTAAAGTCAGGAAAAAGCCAAGTAAAGACGCCCTTGACTTGATTCCGAATGCCCGATGCAGTGCCTACGTTTACGGGTGGTCAGTGAACGGATGTGCAGCGCAAGCAGTCGGTTTTCACAAGACGCTGCCTGCGTCGGCCTTGCGAGGCGAGAGAGTGGGGGAGCGACAGTTGCCACAAGACACGAGTATGCGCAGTAGGGGTGTAGACACCTCCACCGACGCCGGATTTGCGAGTAGGTGCAACTGTAAAATGCTCTGAATTTGAAAGAAGCTTGTATCATGCCTGCACCTGGAATCCAGATACAGACGACTGCACATACGCTGAACAGGAGTGATGGGACGCTTCTGACAATGTACTCTCGCTGCTTATGTCACGTATTTAGGCATACTTAAGAACACTGTGCCTTTCTTATGGCTTTTATTGTAAACAAGGCTCCCTCCCATATCGGGTGCCGAAATGTAAGTAAACTGTGTTTTACGGGTCAGTGTATCCTTTCGCGTTAACACCAAGAAGCAAAAGTTATGCACTGTCTTTTTTTTTTTCCACAAGCCTTCTAGCAGCTCACTGTAGTTGCAGCTGAGAGAGAAACTTTTTAAGCTTTGATCAATAATAATGCTTATTTTTGTGACAGTCACACAGAACTGCTGTCAGTTTCCATGACCTGGCCAGGTTTTTCAGAAATTCCCTGACTTTTCCAGGTTTTCCAGGTTGGTAGACACCCTGCTTCCACCATAGTACACAATCAATGTTAGTTATAGCTCTCCACTTTATGATCTCAGGATCACATTTTGTCAGAGAACTTCTCAAGGGCACTGAAATTTACACATTAAATTTTCCATAGGCGAGTTATCACCGCAAGCGTTGCCTTATCACTGCAAGCGTTGCGAGTTATCACTGCGAAATATTCTAGTTGTCTTTGCAAATATTGCGTCCTCGTGCATTAAAAAGCCCCACACACGTATGTGCGGGCTGGGCTTTCATCTTCACGAGATGCATGGTGATTGTAGAAAACAGATTGAAGATGGAGCTCGGAGGCGAGGAAGAAGAAGTAGCCAGGGTCACGCTCTGCATATTTTTTTTTTCCTGTTTTGTCAACAATAAACCGAAGACGTATCGGTTCTGCGGTCTCTCTGGTCCTTCTGAAATATGGTGCCGTGACCAGGAGGATCTGAAGACAGACGCACAGACTTCAACCCCATTCGCAACAACGGGTTGAAGAACGAAGCAGCGGCGTCTGACTCAAGGACGAACCGTCGAGAGAAGGACCACAACCGACGACTGTTGGCGACGCACATAAACAGGCAAGAGCTCTTTCAACACGTTTTAAGCATGAATAAAGAGGTCCTATCGAAGAAGCAGAAGACGCTTCGAGCAAATGTGACGACGCTTACGAGCGAAATCGATAAGAAGATAGAAGAAGACGCCGATCGAGCGCAACTTATGACGCTTCTGAACCAGATGAAGAGCGTGTCACAGACGTTAAGACAAGTTAACGAACAGATTGAACCGTTCATTGAAGAAGACGTCGCGGAGGCGGAATTTGAAAGAGTTTTGCATTATGAGACGAAGATCGTCGCTGCAACGACAAAAATAGAGGAGCGATTACGCGAGTTAGAACAAGCGACGCAACTGACTACGAGAATAGTCACAGAACAGGTGAGTTCAGTGCAAGGTACTAACCAAATCTCGGAGACACAAGAGCTTGTGAAGTTGCCACGTCTTGAGATGATCAAGTTTGATGGGAAAAAACAGCATGGCCAAGGTTTTGGCATCAGTTCGAGACATCGGTACATAACAGAGTGAACATGCCGAAGAATCAAAAATTTAATTACCTTCTGGCGTCTCTGAGCGGGGAGGCTGCGTCCCTCATAGAAGGTTTGCAGTTTTCTGATCAGAATTACGAGCATGCAGTCGCTCTTTTGAAAGAAACCTTTGGATGAGAAGATAATTTAAAAGAGACCTACATAAAAGAGCTTGCAAATTTGGAAGCAGTGAAGAGTCCTAAAGATGTAGATGGGTTGAAGAAACTCTTCCAAAAGTAATGGCAATAGAAACAATATTGGGATGGACGGTCCAAGGTCCTGTAGGACTTCATTGTGTGCCGATGAAATCATCGACGGTTATGGTACTCAAGGTCAGTGCCAAGTCGGACACGACTGTGGACGAACTGCAGAGATTCTGGGACTTGGAAAACATGGGCATCAAGGAGAAACCAGCAACAAAGATGAACGATGAACATGTGCTAGACTACGTCCGACAAACAATGGAGTTCAAGGCAGGAAGATACCAAGTGCGGCTACTATGGAAGGAAAACGTGACATTGGACGACAACAACACCATTGCAGAGAAGAGGCTTATCCAGGTGACCAAAAAATTATGCAAGGATAAAGATGAACTCCTAGCCTATGACAAAGCTATTCGAGAGTACTTTGAGCAAGAAATAGCAGAAAACGTCGAAGAAGATGCTGGATCCGATATACAGAACAAATTTGTATACTACATGCCGCATCAAGCAGTAATTAAGAAGGACCGAACAACGACGAAAATACGGATCGTCTTTGACGCATCGTCAAGCCAGAATCCAGGTGAATCCTTAAATGACAACTTGGAAAAGGGGCCTAACCTAAACCCCGACATCACAAGCTTGCTGATGAACTTTCGACATCACAAGATCGCTATGTCAGCCGACGTGGAAAAAGCATTCTTGCAGATCAAGATACATGAAAATGACCGAGACGCACTGCGATTCATGTGGTGGGAAAGAATACCCAGCGAAGATATGCCAACCCCGAAGATAAAAACATGGAGGATGACGAGGGTTACTTTCAGAACTACACCAAGTAGCTTCCTTCTAGCAGCCACGATTCATCGACATTTGAATAAATTCGAAGAAAAATATCCTGCAGTTGTGGCGCAACTCCGAAAAGGAATCTACGTCGATGACGTTTTACTAGGAGCCGACGAATACTCGACATCGACA